TAGGCCCGAAACGTCAGCCTTCCTGGTCCTGTGATGCTGCTTGGCCTGCTGTGTTCATCCAGCTCTACACCTTGTTATCTCAGATTTTCCAGCATCTGCAGTTCCTACTATCTCCAAATCTCTACTTGTGTGTACAGACGTGTTCCCCAACTTAAATTATGTAACTTTTAGACTATGCTCTCTTTTCCTAGATTTTCCAACCAGCAGTAATAGCTTCTATTTCTCCTCAGTAGCAGTCGTCATTTATATTTCCCCTAACAGCTTCCCTTAATATTTTAAAAACTTCAATGAAATCATTTCTTTAACCACCTAAATTTCAGGAATAAAACCTTAACGTGTATAATCACTCTTGGTAATTTAAGACTTGAAGTCTACCTATTCAAATAACTTTCATTTATATATTTTTTTAAAATAACAAAAAGATCCCAAGATGTTTCATATAAGCATAATCAAATAGAATTTGACATTGAACTGTGTATAGCAATTTTAGTGTCTGAGACCAAAAGCTGGTTAAAATAGCATGTTTAAGGACTATCTATAGAAAGAGAGGAATAAGCTGGCAGTGCACTTTAACTGAGGAATTGCCAAACGTAGGACCTTGCCAGCTGATAACGGCAGAGTGACAAAAATGTGGGATGTGCAATAGGCTAAAATTGGAGCAGCACATAAATTTTGGAAGGCTTTTGGAGAACAAAGATAAGGAGGTGGAGAGACCCCAGAGGGGTTTATATTTTTGTTCGTAAAGAAGAATTGCCTGGCCCAAAGCCAATATGAGTCAGTGAGTACAGGGATAATGGTGAATGGGTGTTTAGTGCAACTCTTCACTCTTGTTCAAGTAGGGTCACTGGACTCAAAACATTAACTCTGCTTTGTCTCTTACAGATGCTGCCAGACCTGCTGAGTTTCTCTAGCAATCTCTAATTCTGTTTCAGATTGTCAGCATCTACAGCTCTTGGTTTTAACACATTTCAAAAGTTGAACAAAATTTGGAAAACACAGGCCTATCTTATGGCACAGCTAACAACTATAACATGGCTAGTATTTCTCAAAGAATGAAAAATAATGTGAAAGAGGGTGATGCAGAAATTTTTAAACCATTGAAGTTTGCATCCAAAAAGAATCTGAGACTCCATGAGCCATATGATTATGAGAATGATAAGGATAAAAGAAACTTCAATGCTTTGGCATTTAAATAGTTCTCTCTTATCTTGTTCTTGAAGTAATGTTTGCAAAATGAAAAGTAAGTGAACAAAATCCAAAAAAAAATCTAACTTGGTTGAGTGAAAGAAAAACTAGGATAGAATGCCAATCTAACAGGCAACTAGTTATTGATCCTTACCCTCCAGATATATTCCTCAATATTAGAACAAAAGCTTTTTTTATGGAACTGCATGTATGGACACTGATGAAGGGACTGAAACACTACTCCCTAGAGCCTACCAACACTTGATATCCAGATTTATAGTTAAAGAATGGCCACTCAAACAATGCTGGAGGGCTGTCAGAACCTACGATACCATAGTTATCCAGTCATTGCAATTTCAGGAGACCATTATGTATTACTAATCAGTCTTGAAATTAATCTCCCCACAATCACGATTATCAAGTCTATGCCTTTACAAGCAAGATTGCACCAACATTTTTGACCAAATGCCTTCCCTTTATTTGGAGCTCATCAGAAACAAATAAATTATGTAAAGCATGTCCATTTGAAATTAAAATATGTTAGAGTCAGATGGAGTACAATGATATGATACATCTTTTCTTACACATCCTACCCTCAACATCCCCAGATGGGTCAGCACTCAAATGATTATGAATTTGGTAACAGTAGATATAAACCAAACCCTCATATGCATATTAGATAAAAGACCAACCTCCTACCTCTGAATCTGTTCCCAAGAGGAATTCCTTACAGCTTCAGGAAAACATTGGACAGACATGTGGCAGTTTAATATGGCGAGTATGAGACTGCTTCAAAAGAAAAACAGAAGAAATTTAATGCAAAGATGCTGAAAAATGAGTGATCAGAGAGGCATATCTAATGTTTTCAATAACAACTTTCTCGAAATTGTTTGGACATGCAGATAAAGACATAGAAACGTTGAGAGAATTAGAGTTAGCGTCATACAGCACGTGAACAACTTGTGCATGCCGACCAGGTATCCCAAACTAAACTAGTCCCATTTACCTGTGTTTGGCGCATAACCTTGTAAATGGTTCCTATTCAAGTACCTGTCCAAATGTCTTTTTAAATGTTGTAACTGTATCTGCATGTACCATTTCCTCTGGCAGTTCATTCCACATACAAACCAACCTCTGAAAAGTTGCCCTTCAGGTCCCTTTTAAATCTTTCTCTTCACACCTTAAAATTATGCCCTCTAGTTTTGAACTCCCTTTCCCTAGGGGGATTCACCTTATTTATGAGCCTCACGATTTTATAAACCTTTATAAAGGTCACCCCTCAACCTCCTATGCCAAGGAAAATGTCCCAGCGTCTGCTTTTAACTCAAACTCTCCAATCCCAGTAACATCCTTGTACATTCTTTCCTGCACCTTTTCCAATATAATAATATCTTTAATACAGCAGGGCAACCAGAATTGTACACAGTACTCCAAATGTGGTCTTACCAACAACCATAACATGACGTCCCAACTCCTATACTCAAAAGGTCTGAACAAGGAAGGCAAGCATCCCGTACACTTTCTTAACCGTCCTGTCTACCTGTGACACAATTTTCAAAAAAACTACGTACCTGAACTCTTAGTTCCTCTGTTGAACAACCTACCATTAACGATATAAGTCCTGCCCTTGTTTGGCTTACCAAAAATGCAATACCTTGCATTTAATAAATTATATTGCACGTCAGCGCACTAAACAACCAAAAAGTGTGTCTCATAACTAGGTGAAATTTGTCTATAAATTTGCTTCAAATGATCACTAGATAATATCTTTGCATTGAGAAAAACAGCAAATCTTCCTGTCCAAACAAAAGGGGGACAGAGGCTAATTGAATCACTCACCTAAATCAACTCGAACACATATTGAACCTCCTATTGTTTATATGTTTCTTCACTTAGTAATTCACTTAACCAAAGTAACCTTTTCTAGATTACAATAGTGACCACACTTAAAAAGTAATCAAATTAGTATAAAACACTTTACAGTATAGTGATACTTTGGAAGGCACTATTTAAAATGCAATTTTCACCAGACAAAATAAATTGCAAGTATAGTGTACATAACTTCAGTATGATCTGAAGTACTGGAACGGCACAATAACCTACTTCAATCAACACTTTATCCCTCATTTTATATTCCATTCACTTAAATTGATTATTGACATGATAGGTTTCTTTATTTCATTACCTTTTGCAGTTATGTGGCTTGATATCAATTTAGATCAGTAGGCCAAATCCTCCAAACCAAAACTTATTTATTCTTGGATTTGGGTTGGTATAGCCTAATAAATTAACTTGTCTGTGGCAAACTGGTGATGGAAGAATTTGAAGGATGTCAAAGATATTTCCTGCCACAGGATGTCAGAAAATACAGCAAACTTTGTTTTACCCGGCACCTGATGAACCAGCATTCTAGATAAACTGACAAAAATTATACACCACAAATACCGGAAGTTAATGTATTATCACAATGTCAGAGGATGCCAGTGAGAAGGTGCTCTAGCAGCAAGTTCTAAGGGCAAAGTTACATTATTATTTGTGATTTATGCTGTAAATGAAGTGTAACAGTGATGTATATGTGCCTGCATTATGTTTCTATTACTTAACGAGTGTTTTTTTTCTTGATCAAATGAAATTTTTCATCAACCAGGCACACTCTTGGTCCCATAGGTGCCTGTTAATAAAAAGTTTGCTATAACTTTTTGTTCATGTTCATGTTCAAGTACTAAATTAGATTTATTTATAAATAAGGTGATATACAGAAGCAAAACATATAAGCAAGCAACATAATATTGATTAGAATAAAAACAAATTATGAAAATACTCAGTTGGCCTGGCAGCATCTGTGAAGGATCACAGAGTTGATGTTTCAGGCCAATGTCTAGAACATTCATGCAGTTTTTGTGGTGCGTGACACATTAATGGCAAATGTATCATCTAATTACATATATTTACACAACTGCCTTTACTTCTTAAAATAAAGCATTTAATGTTTTACCAGTAGAGATATGACTCCTGTAAAAGGAGAAGATGGGAGACTACCAGGGCCAACTGTGTATTTTCTAACAGAGAAACTGATAAAATACAGCAAAAAAGAGTACCGTATTGTGGCAGAGACCACAACAAATAACAAAAATTTGTATACCAGTGAAAGGTTAAAAATAAATTATTTGGTTAGCTGTGCATTAAATTCCTTATGCAAGATTTCCTCAGCTAACAAAACTTTCTGAAAGACAGCTCCACAACTAGGAAAAATAATCAATGTAATCTAAACCAATAGATGACATCATGCAAACACAAATTGGTTTGAGCAGGTATAAGGAACAAAAGTGAAATCTAGCAATCAAAGTCTGACAATGCACTATCTTTTGAAATGAAGAAAGAGAAACAAAACAGATTTAAGAACTAGTAGAAAAATGAATAGAAAATATACAAATGAAACATTTAGGATGTAAGAACTGTGTACCAAACAGGAACGGCTGTTGATCAGCAAAGATGGTAATCACAAAGCAAATGGCTAAATCTATCCTGCAAACTAATGCAGAATGAATTTGAGATTTGCAAACAAAACTTGAATTTTACAGGTCAGCAGCTATTGCATTAGATTATTTTCTTAGCTCTTGAGCCTTCACATATTTGAAGCCTGTATTTAGAACACTTTCATTTATACATTGATAAGTGAAAGATACAATATGCATGAGGTTTGCAAATAGGGATCCTAGTTTCAGACAGAAATCTTGAAATGGAATGATTGATGACTTACCTGCTGTACAACACGATAAACTGGTGCTTCATGTCTAGAACAAGACAGCAGCAGGCAGTTTACATCTCCTTTATACTACTGATGATTTAAGGAAAAATAGACATCTGAGCAGAAGTTCAAACATTGAAATGCTAACCTGTGATCAATAGATTAACAGACTATTCTGTCAGGTTTACAGAGATCAATGCATTTTTAAATGAAGTACATTAGAAATCATGGAAACATGTCTATAAAGAAAAATACTAAACGTTTGCAGAAAGGGTAACAAAGAGGCTGCGAAAACTGCACTAATCAGAGGTAACAACATAACAAATTAAAAAAAGGGGCACAACTAACAGGATAGAAATAATTGCTACAGACTTTTCAGGCCAGCTAATAATAGAAACAAGGTAGAGAAAAAAAATGCGGGTGAATATGAATAAAGAATATTGAGAGATGTTAATTGACCCGCATATGAAGTGAATGGGATACAGGCAGTACAGCTTTTACAGTTTGTGTAAGACTTATTTCTTGTCCAATATGTAACAGGCCCTAGAGAGGGAACATGGCTAAATACAGCAATGGTCAATGAATCAAAACAGAAACAAAGTACGCTTTGGAGAACATCTAGGCAATCACAATTAGTTCAAGTTTGGAATGTATGCAAGACAAAGTCCAAAGTAATAAATTGGAAAACGGCTGACTTTAAAGGGCGCAAGAATTGAAATCGGGAAAGTATACTGGAAAAACCTAAATACAGTAGTATGAAACACTTAAAGTGGTTGTCAGTGGTCTAAGAACAATATATCCTGCTAAAAAGAAAAAGTTATGATAAATTATTAATGAATAAAGAAATAAAAGAAAGAAAGATAGATAGAAAGGAAGAAGTATACTTTATATAGATGACACAAAAGAACACAAGTATTATGGAAGTTAAAACAATTAGGAAGATAAAGAGAAACTTAATTAAGGAATATAAAAAGTGATCAATTGTAAATAATAGAGAACAAAATCAGAATAATGATAGAGTGCTAAGGGATATGCACAATAAATGTACAGGTAATGACACTGAACCAACAAATATTTGTACTATTTGTCCTAAGTATTAACCAGGGAGAAATTAAAATGATTGGAATGACATTACAGGAAATCAGAAAATTGTAAATACAATGATAGAAAAGGGCGAGTTAACTGGACAAACTAATTAAGATGAGAGAATTAAACCTCTGGTCCAGATGGGTATTATCTACGCATATTAGAAAATAGGAAGGAGATAAATGTACTAGAGACACAAAAGAAAAATCAAAAAGTCACTGATTTCAAAAGAAAACGGTCATGCCTGACCAACCTTTCTGAAATTGGGAAGAGAAAGAGCCTACAAACTAAATGCAGTAGTGCAATAAATAGGATTTTCCAAAGGCGTTCAATTAATGTACTGAAATAGTGGACACACAGTGATTAAAGTCATAACAAATGGACTCAGAAGACAGGTCGCACAATAAATAGCAAGGTGCCTACAAAACAGAAAACAGATACCACGGGGTAAAGGTATTCTTTACACTAGTAAATGGTAGGAACTGCTGTTCCACAAACATTGGTACTGAAACCTCAGCTGTTCATTACCTGCACAAATGAAATAAACTGAAGAAATCAAAATACAACTTTACAATTTGCACATGGCACTAAGTTTTCTCATTCATGTTTTTATCTCTAATGCCTAATGTGTTCAGTGCACTCCCATCGACTATCCTACGTAAACTTGTACTCACCCAAAACTCTGGCTCATGCCAATGCTTGCTGAAATTCATTGGCTCCTGGATCAACGTCTCAACTTTAAAACTCTCATCCTCAAGTTTTCAATTTGTCTATGGTCTCACCCCTCCCTATATGTGCAGGGTCTTCAAACCTTACAGGTATTTGAGCTCCGTTTGCTGCTCTAATTCTGGCTTCTGTTGCATCACCCAATTTTAATTGCTGCAGCATCAGTAGCCATCTTTTCAGTTGTCTTGGCCCCAGCTTTGGAATTCGCTTTCTAAACATTCCTCATCTAAGAGGATGGTTCTTAAAACCTGCCTCGATCAAACATTCGGTCATCTGCCATGATACTGCCTAGGCAGGCTTGTCTTTTGCTAAATTAACATTACAAAATATCCTAATGTTTAAGAAGAGCAATATTAAATTGAAGTAGTTTCAGAAAAGTGATTGAAGAACAATCTGATACATCATTAAAATGATTGAAGTGCTTGGTGGTGTACACGGGAGAAAGATGTTTTTACTTGTAATGGGGAGGAGGGGCCAAAAATATAGGCATAATAAATAAATTGTTACTTATACAACCAGAAGGGAATTCAGAAGAATCTTCTTCACCCAGACAGGGATAACAATGCAAGGAGCAATCAAGGGAACTACCATAGATGCATTCGCATGGACTTACATAAATATGTGAGAAAAATAGTTTAATAGGGTTGGATGAACAAACGTGCGAGATCTGTTCAGAACATGGCCTTTTTGGGAAATTAGGCCAAATTTCTGTAACTGTAGTAGATATCTGTGTAAATAGGTCTAAGAGTATGTGAATCAAACCACAAAAGTGTAAGGATTTCCTGAGCTATATTAAGATAGCTAATCTTAAGGAGCACGACTTTGCCATTACAGAGCGGTCACAGGTAGTGGTTTAATCTGAGGGTCATACCTTGGGCGAGATGTGAGGTCGAGAAGGAGTCGTTCATGGGAATCTCAACCAGTATGGGAACTGAACCCATGCTGTTGGCTTCAGTGTGCATCGTAAACCAGCAAACTGAGCTAACTGATTGGCAAGAACATCAGATCACCAGATGCTAAAGATTGCAGCTAATTGGAATGTGCTTAGCAGTAATTTTGGGGTTACCACCTCCAGTCACAGTCATATATTATGATCACACGCTACAACAATCTAATTGCATCAAACTGACAAGAAAGTCAAAAAGATGGAAAGTCAGTTACTAGTTGATTTATTTTTACTTACATGCACTAGCCAATTTTCCACAGTACTGTCAAGTTGGATGATGCAGTGCTTTATAATGACAGAGCATTAACACATATAACCTACGTGTATTATTCTGCTGCTAAGTTGGAGTTCTGCTCAAACAAATTTTCTTGTTAAAGTAGGAGGGTCAAGCTTTTTAACTTTATAGGCTGCCTACATACAACGCTTAGATTTTTGCAGTTATCTTGCAAATGGTGAATTACCGTTGCTGTTTATCCTAAACAGTGGGTACAAATGGTTGTTCATGTTCTAATTTTGCACTTATTCACCAAGTGAGACAATAGCAGCAAGATCTCCTTTCAAACTAATAGAGCTTTGAAATTAAAACAGCATAACCAGCAAGAAAGAAACACATGTATAAGTAGAGAATTTGAGAGTCACTATATCAGAACTGATAGGCTGCAAATAGCCAATGTGCTGTAATTTAAACACCATTACATTAAGTCCATGAAGTCTAGTTTGATCCAGAGATGCTGTCTGAAGTCAGTATTCAATGACTGGTGAGAAGAAATTCCAGTTTCAAAGTTGCTTCCAATTCAAAATCAAGATAAAACACCTTAGAGTAACTGCCGTTCTTTCCTAATAAAAAAAATTAACATTTGAAATTGTGATATATGATCTCAAAGCTTTTATACTGAACTTCTAACAAAGATTCGTTGAACTGAAACATTAAACGTTTCTCAGTCTGTCGAAGATGCCTAATCTGCTCCACATTTCCAGATTTTTATTTTTATTTCGGAAGTATTATAGTTTTGCTTTCATTTGGCTAGATGAGCCAAATGTATAAACTGAAATGCTATAATTTACAAGAAAACTAACAGTTTAAAGATATAATCCAGCAACTTGGGACAATAAAGTTAATAAAGCAAAATAAGGAGGATGATACAATTTCCACAAAAAATGATACTACAATTGTGATGTATTGAAAGGAAATCACAATGACCTCAGTTTACAGTAGAGAGAGAGAGAGAGAGAGAGAGAAAATGAACTTTACACATTGTAAAAGAAGAGGAAGAGCTCAAAAACTGACTTATTTTTATACACAAGTTTTCAATCCATGTTTCTCATTCCTAATGCCTGCAGTGGTAATTGAGAATCACTGATTGATACATCATAGATTATTTTCCCATTGCAGTTAACTATGTTCAATGGGAATCGTTTGCATACTTAGAATGCAAGGAACTGTTTCCCCAAGGGGGTGAAAACAATTTTGTCCAGCCAGTGTGGAGGTTTGCATAAATGACAATGAACAATGAATGCACTTAAAAGGAAAAACTCATGTATTACAAAAAAGTATTAAAATGTCCAGTCCACAAATCTTTCAGCAACTTTTTCAGTAGTTCAAGAGCCTCAAACTATCATCTAAAATAATCTGGAATTTTATTTTCAAACACCAAATCTCCATTACACATGTATACTCCTTGTTGTTACAAAAAAATTAATCACTCAGCTCCTCTTCATCACTGAAATATGCACTCTTTTTTATTCGTGGACGTTTCGACAGTTCAGATGTTGAACATTCACTTGCATCACCAGCAGTCTGTTTACGTCTAAGCTCTTCCGCCTCAATTTTTGCTTGCTGTTGAGAAGAAGTGTTAAGATATTATTAGGACACCGATGTTATTCATTTATTTATGAAACACTCTCAGCCACAGACTTTCCAATTCAAATTTTCTGAAATGCTTGTTGAATATCTTAACCGTTACACTACCAAATTATCCATGGGTTGTGACTTCTATGGATGCAAGTTATAACAGTAAATTCAATAAACCTGGTACTTTATGGAATAAAAGCAAAAATGGGGATTTATGGTTACTGGTTTACTAATGCACTTCAGAGAAGTTATTATGCAGGCTGTACCTAGTCTGGCCTATGTGTGCCTTCAGTCCCAAAGAATGATCATTCTCCCCTCAGTCTCAGTCAACACCAGCTTTCAGTATGTCCTGTCCAGCTATTAAGATGGTAGATTTGACCTGGAATCATCAGTATGGTTCCAGACCTCATGCAGTATCATGGGTTCGAGTCAGCCAAAGACAGGGAAAGTACTGAAAATAAAACAAGAACTGCAGATGCTGAAGATGTGAAATGAACTAAAAGTAAGTGCTCGAAAAACTCAGCAGGTTTGGCAGCATCGGTAGAGAGAAACAGAGTTAATGTTTTGAAAGCAATCATCCTTTGTCAGAACAGTTGGACATTGGGTCTTTGGACTTAAAACATTGACTGTGTTTCGCTCTCCACAGATATTGCCACTCTTGCTGAGTTCCTCGAGCATGCCCCATTTTTGTTTGCTCTAGAGAAAGCAGTAACTAATTTTCAAATGCATGGCTCCCAAAAACATCTCTAAGTATGCATCAAGTTGCAGGTGACAATTTTCACGACTAAAAGCAAATTAGTACTACCACCACTGACCATGCTGTCCAAGTCCTAAAGACACAATAGCTAGGCTACACTAATGTGAGGTGATAAGGGATCCCATTCAGGAATAACCTATTGAACCTTAGCTTACCAATTTTCCTATCACAGACATGGTTATACAGCATGATTGTTGTAAAGGCAGCGAGGGCACAAATAGTAGTGGTACTACCATGTTGATTTGGATGTCTAGAAAGGCAAGTAGTCCAAACATGTGATGAAATCTACAATCTCATTGTCCTGAATACCCTCATAACTCCATTAAAGTATGGAGAAAAGTCAGTCAGTTTAATGGCTATTATAAAAAGGCATACAGGGAGCATACTTCTGTAAGAAGCTACAATACAGGAATTTCTACATATTAAACAACAGTCAGCAGATCAGGCTAACAATATCCAGGCATAGTGGTAATATCACTGGACTAGTAGTCCAGAGACCGAGGCTAATGTTCTGGGGACACAGTTTTGAATCCCACAATGACAGATGGTAAAACGTGAATTCAATAAAATCCAGAATTAAAAGCTAACCTAATGGTGATCGTATAACCATTGTTATAATTAACAATGTTGGTTCACCAACATCCTATAAGAAAAGAAATCTGCCCTGGTATACATAACTCCAGACCAATAGCGATTTGGTTGACTCTTAATTGCCCTGTGAAATGGCTGAGCAAGCCACTCAATTAAAAGGTGATTAGGGATGGGCAACAAATGCCAGCTTTGCCAGTGACACCTGCAGCTTAAAACAAGAATAAAAATGTTCAAAACCTATCCACCAGAACTAACTTGTTCACTCTCAAAATATTCCAATGTATTGATGACTCTGGCATTCACATGCAATGTGGAAAATTGCATTGGAATACTTCATCCTCAAAAAAAAACAAGCACAAATATACCTCGCCAGCTGCTGCCCCAGCAGTTTTCTCAATCATCAGCAAAATGTTTGAAGGAGCCATGGAAATTCTCTTGGGTGTTCTGACCAGTAATTATCCCTCATTCAATGTCAAAACAAAAAGAACAAATCACAGGTCATTACAACCTTACTGTGTGAAATTTGGCTGCAGTATTTCCAACATTGTAGTACTTAAATGTTTTACAATCAATCAAGTACTTTAGGAGTATTAAGCACAAGATGTTCTACATTGTAGTGTCATCATGTACTCATCTGCAAGCACATTACTGAATTTCCATGTCAGTTCTTTAGAATACCAGGCTCTAAAGCATCTCACTGCCTTGATTAAGAGACAAATGCAAGAACTGCCAGTAACTGTCCTCAACATTAAGAAAACAATTTATTCAGTATAGTAAAACCAATCCTGGCAAAACTGAATGCATGAGTCCATAGAAATTTCTTCAGTTGCTGCATTCAAATTTGACACAAAAGAAAGGCGTACAACATGGTTGTCGGTAGCTAATAACTGCAATCTGAGGACTTAAAGTAGTCTTGAAGGAATGCCCAATTTGAGTTCTGCCAAGACCATTCAGCTTCTGCTCTCATTGCAGCCTTGGTTACAACTTGGACAAAAGAGCCGAATTCCAGAGGTGAGGAGAGAATGGCTGCCCTTCACATCAAGACTGCATTTGACTGAGTGGAGCATCAAAGAGACTGAGGAAAACTAGAGTCAATGGGAATCAGGAAGGGAAAAAAAAACACTTTGCTGGCTGGAGCCATTCGTTGCACATAGGAAGATGGTTGTGGTTGCTGGAGGTCAGTCCCCTCACCTCCAAGACATCTCTGCAGGAGTTTCTCAGGATAGTGTCCTAAGCCTGACCATCTTCAGCTGCTTCAATGATCTTCCTTCCATCATAAAGGTCAGAAATGGGAATGTTCACTGATAGTGATTTACATCGTGTAATCATTCGAGACTCCTCAGATATTAAAGAATTCCAAATGCAGCAAGACCTGGACAATAATCAGGCTTGTCTAAAATGGCAAGAAAGATTTACACCACACAAATGTAAGGCAATGACCATTTCCAGCGGTAGACTATCACCCATTCCATTGCCATTCACCCGACATCAATGGTGCTGAGATTGAGGGTGGACAGTGTTAAGTTCTTTGGAGTGACGATAACTGACAACCTGTCTTGGACTTGTCATGTAGATGCAATGGTCAAGAAAGCACAATAAAGCCTCTTCTTCCTCAGGCAGCTATGGAAATTTGGCATGTCCACAAGGTCCCTCACCAACTTTTACAGATGCACTGTTGAAAGCACACTGTCTGTGTGTATAATGGCATGTTATGACAACTCCTCTGCCCAGGACCATAAGAAACTACAGAAGGTTGTGTGCATAGCTCAGACCATCAAGGAAGCCAACCTTCCATCCATAGACTCCATTTACATGGACCCTTGCCGCAGAAAGGCTGCCAGCATCGAAGACCAATTGTACTCCAGCAACGTTCTCCTACAACTTCTTCCGTCAGGCAGAAGATACAGAAGCTTGAACACACGCACCAGCTGGTTCAAGAACAGCTTCTTCCCCGCTGTTATCAGACTGATGGGCTCTAACTTCAAATAATGCTGATCTTGCTATTGTTGATCTTGCCCAGCGCACGCCCTGTGTGAATTTCAGTGGCTCCTTCAAACATTTTGCTGATGATTTTTTTCACCCTATGATCTGTATGCCCTTGCTCACTATGATCTGCCTGTACTGCTCATAAACAAAGCTTTTCACCATACTTAGGTGTACATGACAAACCAATTAATGGTGCTAGCATCGTAAAATCCCAGAGGTTACCATAAGAAATAAGAACAGTACTGGGCTGGTCACCCCCTAGAGCCTGCTCTACCATTCAATAGGTTCAGGGCTATTCCGACATTTTTCATGTCCACTTTCCTGCCTTTTCCCATAACCCTTGATTCACCTACTGATCAATCTCAACCTCAAATATACACAAGAGCTCTGCCACAGCTCTCTGTGGCAAGGAATTCAAAAGATTCTCACCCCTCAGAAGAAATTCCTTCTCATCTGTCTTAAATTCTGAGACTTTGCCCTCTGGTCCTAGCTTCTCCCACAAAGGGAAACATTCTCTCAGCATTTACCCTCTCTAGCCCTTAAGAAACCTACGTGTTTCAATGATATCACCTCTCATTCTTCTGAACTTGAATGAGTACAGTCTCAACTGTTTAACCTTTGCTTATAAAATAACCCTATTCTAGGAATCATCCCAGTGAACCATCTCTGAACTACCTCCAATGAAATGATATCTTTCCTTAAATAAGGGGACCAACATTACTTATGTAACCATTCCCTAGACACTGAACCGGATTCGCCACACAAACTGCAACAGAAGGTCAGAGGCTAGGAACACTGCAGTGAGCAACTCATCTCTCAACTCTTCAAAGCCTGTCCACCATCTACAAAGGCACAAATGAGAAATATGATGGAATACGCCCCCACTCGCCTGGAAGAGTACAGCTCCAGCCACACTCAAGATGCTTCACGTGAGCCAGAACAAAGCAACCTGTTGATTGTCATCTTTTCCACTAATACCCAATCCCTCGACCATCAATTTTCAGTAGCAGCAGAGCATACCATCTACAAGATGCACTGCAGAAATTCACCAAAAATGCTTTGACAGCACCTTAAAAACCCACAACCACTACCATCTAAAAAAGTCAAGAGCAGAAAATGCATGAGGTGCCTACCTTCTGCCCATAAACGTAACCCCAAGCCTCCAGTTGCCTGCCATTTCAACACACCACTGTGTTCCCAAACCAATATTTCTGTCACAAGCAAGCTGCAGTGTTTCAGCGAGCCTCAGCGTAAGCAGCGCAGCATCTTGCTTTTCACTTAAAGAGGCTGCTGCTTTTAGTACTCAACAATAGGCAAAGTGTCCTTCTTTAATACTGTATCATTCTATGAAAGTTTGTTTAAAATTATATGTCACTAAGGTTTTGGAGTAGATTTGTAGCTCAGGTTGTGGGTGTTGAGGTTGGTTGGCTCGCCGCGCTGGTTTCTTGTATCGCGTGCTATTAATAAACACATTGACCCCATATACATTCCACTACGAAGGAAGACCGGAAGTGAGGTAATCCATCTCAACGGACGCCAGAGTTTAAAAACCAGGCAGAAAAACACACCAACGCTTCATCGGAGGCTGCACTGAGGATGTTACCCAGCATGGTAACGAAGTATCCGCGATACAAGAAACCAGCTTGGCAAGCCAACCAACCTACATGTCACTCTTTCTCCATACCTCTTTCTTCTCCTTCTCTTCAACCACACTCTCATCATCATCTTCCTTCTTGTACACATCTCTGGTCCCTTTCTATTTTCTCTCATGTTTGTTCCTCTGGTCAGCACTTCCGAATTGCGCACACACCACCGCCACCAGCCCCCCCCAGAAAAAAAAAACAACCACCAACACCACCATACAGCATACCCAAATCTGAATTCCCATCCTTAATATCCACCTGCTCACCTACTCCTGTTATCATACAGGCTGCTTTCAGCACAGCCTACCCCATATGCCTCCTGCTCTCAGCTTCCATTGTCACTTATTCAGCTTCTCTTCTGTCCTGGCCTGCTATCAATAATCCCCTCATTTGCCTACCCCTTTCATATCTCTGTCTCCACCTATCTGCTCACGTCTTCCCCCAACTCCATCTTCAGCATAAATACCACTTTTTCCTAGCTGCTATCAGTTCTGGTAAAGAGTCACTAGACTCAAAACATTAACTCTGCTTTCTTCCCACAGATGCTGCCAGGCCTGCTGAGTTTCTCCAGCAATTTCTATTTCAGATCTCCAGCAGCTGCAGTTCTTTGCTTTGTTTCAGAGTTGAAACGAGCAGTTTAAGTTAATAGTTCATAATTGTTTACCTATGTTTAGAATTTCATTATTTGTAATAAAGAGTTCTTGTTTCATACAAAAACCTGGTCAGTGTTTTCTGTTAAACTGAGGTAAATCGGAGACTTTGAGTACTTTGATCCCAGAGATAGTGGAGCTCAAGTATCAATGTTCTTACTGGATCATATCAAGGGTAAATAAGGAGAAACTGTTTCCAATGTGACCAGTTCAGTAATCAAAGGGCACAGATTTAAAGTTAATTTCTCATTTTGTCCCTTGTTTTTTGGAAGAAACCTATTCACATAACAAGCTATAATGATTTGGGATATGGTATCTGAAAAACCTGATGCAAGCATGTTCAATAGCAACTTTCAAAGGAGAAGTGGACACTTCAGAGGAAAAAGGTTGATTGAATAGCTCTGTCAAAAAGCTAAATCATGTTCAATAGGCTAAGTGTCCTTTTTTGATACTGTATCATTCTATGAAATTTTTAAAAATTATATGCCACTTTTTCTCCATGCCTCTTTCCTCTCCTTCCCTTCAACCACACTCCCATCATCTTCCTTTCTGTACACATCTCTGGTCCCTTCCTATTTTCTCTCACGGTTGTTCCTCTGGTCAGCGCTTCTGAATTGCCCCGCCCACCACCATCATATAGCATAACCAAATTTAAACTCCCAGTTAAGGAATAGGATTTCAAATATGGCGACCATTTGTCCAGCTTCCCATGCAACTTTAATACGTTATTAATGTAACATGCATCGATATACCCTACAGATTTAACAATATGCCTTCCACTAGCAGAACAGTTATTTGGCACTGGAATATGCCCAGAAGCAATTACTCAATGTCAGGAACTTAAGCTACTGTATTGCATTTCAGCTTTGAGGGGATGAATAGTGGGCCACAGCACTAGATGAAAGGAATGGTAACTGCAGGGTAGGTAGGAAAATGAGACAATGAAGTTAGACAAACGAGGTCGTGACAGATAGGAAGGAGAGAAGAAAGAAGCCAGAAAATAAAAAGATCAAATTATATTTCCTACCTCTTCCCTTTAAGAACAACCTGTTCATTCTCTATATTTTCCCCTTCACTCCTTCATTCCTGTCTTCTCTCCCTAGTTTGTGTAGTCCCACCTTCTCATCTCATTAGGAATGAAGAATTAGGGAATACTGAACAGGTACAAGGCCTTCTGAATGCTCTGGCACAATGCAGGTGATAGAGTCCATCATTATCTAATCTTCAGTTACTGTTGAATTAATCCATTTTTTTAAAAAACAAACTGCAACGTGGGATTATAAAAGAGCTGAGTGGTATGATTAAGGATTGATACTTCATATATGTGTTGTAAGTATCTTGCGAAAGACCCCAATTAAGCCAATCAATATTATGTCATCAGCACAGTGATCAATTACAAATACAATTAATTGCAATACAAACAATGATAGAAAGCTCTCCCAACGTTTGTTTCCGAAGCAACAGAATGGTAAAATGACTTAGAAAGAAAATTATTTATAATTAGATCCAAGTTAATTTATGATCCAAGGATATGCATCAATTTATTTTCTCAGAATCACATACCTGAAAAGCAATAGCTTGACTCAGGCTTTCAAGGGCAGGGTCTTCTCCTTCGTCTTCACTTTCTTCCTGCTGCTCCTCATCCTCACTGAAAATGCAGAAACATTTATTTGGACTTGCCCTCAAAACAACCCTCTTTTTAAAAAAATATACGTTTAACAGGTCAACAATGCAATATACCCACATTTCTTCTGGCTCACTGATCTTTTTCTTTTTCTTTTTCTCCTTCTTTTTAGGAGGTTCTCGCTCTCCAAGCATATTTTTTGGGCATGCATAACTCAAATGGCCATAATCCTGCATTGAGAAATGGAGATCACATTTTCAATACTGTAGTATTTTACTTCTATCTGAAACACATTTTAAAATCTCAGCTTTAGAGACAAGACAAACTCTATACTAAATCTTCAAGAGAAATGCTTGTTGTGTGTAGTGTAATTACTTTGAATGCTAAATTCAAAATTTACAAATTTATTACTTATAGAGATCTTAGAGAGATATTAAATTGCTAGCAGATTGATCATTTGTATGTAAGATGCTGCTGATGCTCAAGCTGAAGAAACAAAAATGTCAATGCATTAACATTCACTTTCTCAGGATCAAAGAAATATTGCCTAGATAATATCCTTTGCAGGAGACAAGGTTCCATCTTCACATTGAGGATATCCTTCATCATGCTGTGTGGTATTGTGCTGAACGGAACAGATTTCAAACAGATCTAACAACTCAAGACTAAATATCAATGAGGCACTGTGGAATTCAGCATAAAAATTATGTTCAACCACAACCTGTAACCTCAAGATCCAGCATATCCCCATTCTCCTATTACCATCAAGCCAGGTGTTCAACCCTGGTTCACTAAAGAGTACAGGGGGACATACAAGGAGCAGCATCAGATATTACCGAAAATGAGATTTCTATCAGCGAAGCTAAAACGTAGGACTACTAGCATACCAAGACCATCAATATGCAATACACAGAGCTAAGTAATCCCACAATCAACAAGTCAGATCTAAACTCTAATTTGGTCACATCCAATTGTTAATGGTGGTGGCAAATTAAAGAATTCACTGGAGGTGGCTGCTCCACAAATATTTCCATTTTGAAAGATGGGCAGTTCAGCTCGCCAGCACAAAAAACAAAGCTGAAGCATTCATAAGCATCTTTAGCCATAAGCATCGAGTGAACAATCCATCTCGGCTTCCACTGGAGATTGCCGGCAAAACAGATGCCAGAGAACAGCTAAATCAATTCACTACACATGATATCAAGAAATGCCTGACAACATTTCGGCATTAGTACTGAAGACTGGTGTTCCCCAACTAGCTATGTCTCTACCAAAACTGTTCCAGTACAGTTGCAACAGCCAACAATATGGAAAATCTACACAACTATGCCCTGTGCACAAAAAGAGTAAATTCAACCCAGCCAATTACAACTTCTTCAATATATTCTCAATCATCAGCAAAACAATTAAAGGCATTGTAAACAGTGGTATCAAGTGGCACTTATTCAACAAACACCAGCTCAGTAATGTTTACTTTGGGTTCCACCAGGGCCACTCAGCTCCTGACCTCATTACAGCCTAGGCCCAAAAATGAACAAAACAGCTGAACTCAAGAGACGAAGTGAGAACAACTGCCCTTCGGATCATGTTATCAAATCACATCTTGACTATCAACTTTCTTTCCAAGATTCAATTCTGTGGCTGCCTTTAATTTGTTCTTGACTAATTATTCTTGGGTTAATACACATCAACATACATGACATTCATTATGTGTATTATACTTGCAGCAGCACAAATTATTGGCTGATCTGGATTGTGTATGTTACAAGAACAAGGAGCTGTGTGTTTAATAGCATGTTTCCCATGTCTGAGCATGGTGAATTGATTTTTGCACATTTTTAGATTTAATTTTACACTAGAAGATGTTAATTCACATTTTGGGTAATTTAACCCAGAACTATACCTCTTCAATCTCTTTTATAGTACTGTCATGCCAATAAAACCTAATAATTGTATTTATGTTTTGCATTTGAGTGTTGTACTCACACCACATTCATAACATCTAGATTTGTCTGTGTAATTGCGCCGTCTTATGAATTCAGACGCTCTTCCATTGTCAACTGCAATACTTGCTTTCACTGTTCTGCCAAACAACTGCAATTGACAAGAAAAACAATCACAATGTTATGATAAATGACAATTCTTATTCAATTGAAAACAAAACTAAAATGGAATTGAAAACAAATCATAGCTCACTTGCTTGTTGTTAAGTGCCCTGGTACAGTTATATGCTGATTCTCTATCCAGAAACAGAACAAATGCCACACCTTTACTTTTTCTGGAATCTTTATCCCTCAATACTGTAACTCTGTAAACAAATGGATGCAGTCTCAGCAAATTTGAATAAAAACCATAAAAGGCCACTGAACAAAACAGTCTTCACAGAAGGCTATAACACAGTGGTCAGTTTACTTTCCATGGAAGCAATGTTGCAAGCAAATAAGAAATCTTAACATAATATTTTACACCATATTACCAAAACCAATAAAGCTACTCAATGCAGTGACTGAATTTCAGCCAATTTAAATCCTATTCTTTATTTCTACTTTGTTAAACAAAATCTTTAATTTCTCAAACTGTCTGAAGTGCTCTATCTAATTTAAACAAATTGAATTTTTCACAAAACAATCCAATCACGGGAGGTAGTTTTACAGCTACTAGCTTAAAAAACAATTATCAACTCCACGAAGGCTGGGTAAAAGAATATGATGTATATTGGCCTGGATTTTACAATTGCTGTTGACCTCAAATAAATCATCATAGTAATCTAGTCATATTCATGACAGAACTTTAACTTGTTCCACGAGCAAGTGATCAGAAGGCTCATTCACGAGAATTTCCATGTTGAGCTGCTCGGAAATCATCAAGCAAAATTTCCTTGTTGATGTAGGAGCATAACAGCACTAATTATCAAATTGTTATGACCAATGGATTTCTTAAAATGGTTAAGTTCTAAACTGTCTTCTTTACTTCAAGGTAAGATGGAAATAGTTTGGAGAGGGCAAATGTGATATTCTACAAAATCTGCCCGAAAAAAAGCCCATGAAATCGGATACTGTTTGTCTGAAGACAAACACATCTGACTTCATATAAAGTAAGGTCCAAGATTCAATACCTGGATGCAAAGAAGGCCTCTAAGGCAGTCAGGCCGGTGGATCTGGGAAGGAAGACCCATAATAGATTCTGCTAAATCAGGTAGAGAAGATGATGGATTTGAGGTTAGTCACCAAGGGAAGAGATATTTTGTGAGCATGGGGCTTTCAACACTGGACTGCATTTCTGCTGAAAGTATGGGGTAATGTGTAAACGGTGTGGCATTTTTGTTTGTTAATGGGGAATATCTTTGCTGTCATTTAGTGTATCAGTTGCTTATTATGTAATGTTTAATCAATGTTAGTTCTAGTTTGGTAAGTTTTAAAATGTGAAATTTCAATGTGTGATTCCTTGCATTGATGACTGGGGAATTCACTTTTCTGTTTTTAAAAAAAAAAGTTATTGGTCTTGATTGAGATCGCAACAAAACCCATCTGATTCACCAACTTCCTTTTACAAAGGAAACTGCCATCCTTACCTGGTTGGCCTACATGTGACTCCAGACAAATAAACGTGATTGATTCAAAGGGATGGGCATTAAATACTGGCCCTGCCAGCGCTACTCACCTCCCGTAAATGAATAAAAGAAAATCACTTAATTTTATACAGAATGAATTAAAGATTTGTACTTTACATAATGAATTAAGGTAGAAGCTGATATATCATAAACATACCAATGTTTTGTTTAGCTGTTTCAAAAATCTGACAATTGATTACAATGAGATATTTCACATGCCGTAAGTGAAAAATAATATATTTAGGGCCAAATTGGTTACTCAACAGTAGTCATTACTCTCAGCACCATTCAAAATCAAGGCACATCTCATTAAATAAGTCTTAATTTTGTATGGGAATTCTAAAGTCAAATACGAGTGGTTAGAAGTTATACTTCAGTTATATGAAGCCCAAGTTGGGCCACATCTGGGAGTAATTAGATAGGTTTTGGACACTGTAGCTCGGGAAGGATATAATGATTTGCATCAAATGCTTAATTTGCAGTCAGGTTCAAACAGGTGATAACAATCAGAATGAAAGTTCAGTCAAAAGGTTTTTGGATTCCAGGTTGTTATATTCATGAAAGTAGAAACATTGGCAAAACATTTGTTAGACTATGCATTGCAAATGACAGTTTGGCTCAATTGGAAGTATTTTTGGCAGATTTTGTAGATTACACAGTGAAGTTCAATGGCCTCAGCACATAAACTTTGGTTGACGCTTTTGTGCAATACTGAGGGTTTGCTGCACTCTCCAAAGCATCTTTTGAAGTGCCAAATTGAGTGGTTTTAGTGACCATTAGAAATAGAAAAAGAACTGATGTGCTAACGCAAGGCTTTAATTCAAATTTGATTGTGCAGATATTTTCTTGGGATCCATGAAGTTAATGGATCATTCAGCCTCAAACTGTCTGATATCTAATTCATAAGATTGCATATCCCAAAGAATCTAACAATGCATTCCGTTTACAGACAATTTGAATACTTGTACTTCTCCGAAGTGTTTGTAAATTCATTGCCTTTTCCCTGAACTTGATTAAACCTACTACATCTCTTTTTCTCCTCAGTTCTGATTTAAAGCCATAATTTGAAATGTTAACGCTTCCACTCTTCACGGATGCTGTTAGACCTACTGATAAGCAGGTATGCTTGGAATCACTTCATTTAAAACCAGCTAAAATTGCCTTTGTGTAACAAAATGAAATAATTAGCACATTATTTATTCCATCAATGGATCATCTTGCTAAAGTAAATTAATTTTTCTCACTACTCTACATTTTAACCTTGTCACAATCTTTGCTGGATTGATCGCTCCAGATTTGTTTAGCAGTCTGTATTAAAAAATCATTCAAATGGGGACTTAGACGATGAGAAAGTGGGTTAAAATGTAGGTAAAGTATTTCTTGAAAGATACCAGAGAAAAGGGAGGTGATCGGGGTGGTCTTCATGACTTTAGTTCATAGTTTGTGTCTCCGTTTTGTCTTGTTTCTTAATATGCACTTTGCATTCAGATTGTTATTATACCCTTGCAACCTATCTGGACACAACTTTTATTCCTTTACCCATGACCAAAAAAAATTTAATTCATTTAATCTCTCTTCTCCTATCACAGGCCTACACTTTTCAACATCCCAAACTTCCTTCCACTTGCTAAAAAAATCTAGTGCATAATATTTATGTTTCCACTATTCCTAATAAAGGATCATCGTTTACTGGGAATGTTTATGCTGCTTCAATCCAATGAAGTTGCCCAAATAATATCCAGCGTTTTCTGTTTTTATTTAAAATATGAGTAAATTTCCATTCAAAATAACAAACTTGAACTAAATACATCGCTCAAATATGGTTCAAAAGTAATAGGACTTTTGCAAGTTACACTTCAAAGTTTGGAAGAATGGGATTTAGCAAATCCTTTAAGATAAAATTTGATTCTGTCAGTTGAAACTAGCTGCTTTTTTTGTTAGCGTGGTCATCTTGTGCAGCCCTGCAGAATTTAATTAACACTTTTAAACATTGGAATGTCATGATTAATAAAAGGAAAAACTGAACGTTATGAGTACATCTGAGGTGATTAATACAGGAGTATGATACTAGTGATGATCTCTTCTCCATGGCTTGAACATCAGAATCCATTTAATGGCGGACAATTTCAAAAACTGGATTAATGTGATTGGCTGGTATACCTTACTGAGGAAATTTTGGTTAAGAGGTATTTCATTTCAGAAGTCCTAGCACTAAAGCTTTCTAAATGTCAACACCAAGTTTACGATATTTAAATCGGGTTACATCAACATTGCTATGGTGAATTTTGGTTTGTCATTTTTAAAAAAATGACCTTGTAAATGTTAGGTCATTTGCTTTTAAAAAAAAAGCAAAATTTAAAAAGAAAATTATTCCATCAATACCAGAAATTTGCAACATAATTTATGTCATTAGAAATTCTTATGTTTCACTTACTTGACCACTGTGCCATACTTGGAAAAAATCTGAAAGTAAAACATTGTCAAATGAAAGTTGGATATATTAGGAACAAAAATAAGCAAACACATGACTATTCAAGTCTCAAATATAAAAATAATAAAAGATCAATTAAAAATAATTATTGCTGGTGCAATATATACCTACATTTTAAAATACATTGAATTGTTGTGTCTACTCAATAACTGACCAGCGGTGAACACTGTATCCAATATTGTTGGTATCATTGAATTAAGCCTCAGGAAAGGGGGTGTGAATAAGGAATTTTAAAATATTCAAGTATCATTCATTCTCTTCCATAATCTTCTGACTCAACAGTAAACGTGTTCCTACTGAGTTGCAGTTGATTCTCACCCTCCTCACTGACTCAATTCCCCTCCCAAATTTAAAAATTTACAAGTCTTTATGTTAATCTTATACTCTTCCTAGTTTCTAAAATATTTTCTTAATCTCCTTCACACTACAAAGAGTTCCTCTTGAAGGACAGGCAAGGGATCAAGACTCAAACATTGCCAGTCATTACGAAAGAAATACAATACCATCAAGGATTGGTTTGCCGTTCAGATTTTGCAGCTTATCTGAAAAAGTGATGGACTAAAGTTCTGAACAGCATCAGTTGGAAGTTACACGTCAATAGTCTGCCCAGTTCAGAATCTGTCAGAAACCTTTGGTTCAGGCCTTGCCACAGGCTTATCCAGCCAGATCAATGCGCATTTATTTAGGGTTTTGATGTAGCAAAACATACAGTTCACAAGAGCATTGATGAAAGAGCTGATTGTCCAAGAAACAAAAGTAGCTTTCATCAACATCAAGACACCATTCCAATAAGTATGGTACCAAGGAATCCTAGAAAATAGAACAGGGTTTATGGGAAAACCTTGATTGGTTGGACTTATGCAGACATGCAAAGATGACTGTGGTCATTAAGGATCGATCATTAGCTCTAAGCTACCACTAATATTCAGTGCAATGTTATCAGCAAAAACCCCATCAGCTGATTAGTAACTATTTTTCTCTATCATGAGATCAAGAGTGGAGTCATTTGCTACTGACTCGAGCTTTCAGCCATGTTCGCAACTGCTCCAATAATGAAACAGGTCATGCTGTCCCACTACCAGACTTTGGACAACATCTTGACTTAGTGTGACACAGTAAAGAGCATTCATTCCACTCAAGAACCACATTTTATGCAAAGGTGCAACATAAATGCATCTTTGTTGTTAAAATTGTCTCCACTTACAAGACATGGTGGAAAGATATTGCAGCAACAATGCAAAAAACTACTCATTATCCAAGATTAAACTGCTTTCTTCATGTATTTATCCCCTCACTCAACTCACCTCAGTGTAACTGCCTCCACTAAGTACTACCTGCAGGATGCAAACCAGGAACACTCAGTTTACTCTGACAGCACTTCATTCCCCTGTGGCCTTTACCAGTCAATATTGTCACCAGAGACCATCACTTTTATCAAAGTACATCTTGACTGGGACAAATAATGGGACAAAGTACTTCCATTGTTGCTCCATGGCCATCATGAAACCCCCCACCTAACAATACACAGGCATTATGGTACCACAAGGACTTTAGGAATTCAAGAAGTTGGCTCATCATTACCTTCTCAGGGCAACAAAAGATAGTTAATAAATGCAGTTTTTCCAGCTTTTCCAACAAGGAATAACAAAAGTAAAACTAAGTCTTTTGCCCAGACACAACTTGAAAAATTGAAAGCAGAGATCCCAATTTTGTAACAACATAAACACCAATATACACCATCAAGAAATATCAAATTTTACAAAATGCTACAACTGCTGTGCATTTGATGATTGTTTCTTTCAAAAACACAATTATAATAGGAATATAAATTTAAATCTATACTCATCAATACTTAAGTGTTTCATAAATCATTCAAGCAATTCCATCAAGAACCAGATAACTTTAGTATATGATGGCATCATGACCTAATCGGTTTACTGACATTAGCAGAAAAATATATTCTAAAAACAGATGTCTTATTCATTGAATATTTTTTCCCCAACCCCCTTCCCCAAGAAAGGTCTGTTACACTGGCACATTACAGTATGGTGCAGAAATGTCCACTTGAGAAGCGATTTCCTTTAAAATAAAAAAAAATCAGGGATCATTTGTTTTAAGGTAATGACTTACTCCATCAATACTCCGTGTGCCTACTGTAAGTTCAAGATTCAAAGAGTTCTCAAATAAACCAACCTCTACCAGCCACACTTTCATACCTCCAAACCAACAGCTGAACGAGTCTGGGAATATGCCACCTTCAACTGCCTGGATGTAAGAAATCGTGTTTTATTTATTCATTCATTCATCCATCAGATGTGAGTGCCATTGGCTGGACCAGCAGTTATTGCACATCCCACTGTTTTAGACAATGAATTCTAGTCATTTCCCTATCATGACATGATATTCTTGGGTACGATTAATCAAAGTGTTGTGGTAATTTTGAAAATGATCCAAAGATCGTGTGCATTCATTAATGTTATCTTCTTCCAAGAAGACTGCTATAGATGTCCACCTCTGTCTGTCCTGTGCCACATTCCACACATCATAGACTGGATACAGTTGACCCATCATCCATCTTCTCCTCTACGTCCCTCTCCAACATTTTCTGTCAATCTTTCCTTCTTGTAATGGTTTCTGCTATTCTAATGATGTGACCAAAATATCTATCCTTCACTCTTAAATGTTATGCACACATTCTCTTTTTTCCAATCATTTCCAACATCAACTCATTAGTCTTTCTTGGACAGGCAGAACATTTTCCTCTGTCTACATCTCAAATGCATTCAGCTTATCTAGAGTCTTGGTTTGTTTTCCAAGGTAGTGATGGTGTACAAACAGACATGACAAAAAGCAGACACTCAGCATTATTTTCTCCAAGATTCAAGCTCATTTTCTTTGATGTTAATACTTTCTTCAATGTGACAAAATCTCTTTTCTCTACTTTCCAGCCAATGACTCAAATCATAAGTACCATCAATTGTAATAACCTACCCAAGATAAGTGAACTATTTCCCTTGTTTCAGGACATGTCTATTTACTTAAATTTTCACTTCCAGGGTTAGGCATCTGCTTGTCACCATAGTTAATCTATTTGCCATATTTACTTCGTTTATAATTATCTATCCCGCTTCTTCTGACTCTGCCATCTGTATTGTGTCATCTGTGCATCCCAAGTTGTTGACATTCAACTCCAATGTTACAATCTGGTATATCTTCTGTGTCCGTGATGATAACTTACTGAACAGTTGTGGGCCTTAAGACATACGTGATGCATTCCTCTTTTAATTGGGAAGCTAACACTAAACTAATGAGGGTGATAAACTCTAAACTAAATGTTACAGCACAATCAGCACACACTTGAGAATTGAGCAAGTAGATGGCAAAAGATATTCCATGTACAAGCACCTCATGTAGATACAGAAAATCCAGGAAGAAACTATTCAGTTGAAGGGAAAGAAAACTATTTCTCTATAAAACAAGAGACATCTGGTCATCTTGATTAACAATAAGTTAAAAGGTATCATAACACCGCTCTGTAGCAGTGTATAAAGCAGATTAAATGTTAGAATATATTTTAATATTGAGCTCAAAGAGTGAAGTTATTAATGACACTTATTAAAACACTTAGGGGACCAATTGTAGAATACTTTCACAATTCAGATTACTGCAGTACAAAACAGCGATATTGCAGCTATTGAGAGGGTACAGAAAGCAGCAACAGGAATGACTGAGGAGATAGAATTATGAGGAGTAATGATATAAATTGGGCATGTTCACTTGTAGACCGACGTCTTTTTGTGTTTGTTCGTGGGAATATAAGCATCACTGTTCATTCTTAAATGATTTTCAGAAGGCAAAGGGGAGCTGCTCTCTTGAATTGCTGCAGTTATTGGGATGTGGGTGTACCTAAAGTGCTGTTAGAAGGCAATATAATTGTTGTTTTCAGGATTCTGTAGTGGTGGATAAAGTGGAGACGGTCAAGCTGCTTTTCCTTATCAAGAACAATAAAAGTAGAAAACACAGCAAAGTACCAATCTGCACAAATTATTCATATTTTCCTTTCATTATTCTCATGAAGGGTTGATTCCTTCAAACAGTCACCAGAGGGTTGTATATTATTCAGGCAAATTCATTGGATAGAAGCAGCATAAACATTCCCAGTAAACGATGATCTTTTATTAGGAATAGTGAAAACACAAAAAAAAGCTTTGGGAAACACATGTTCAAAATCACCTGTTCCATAGGTCAGGGATGAAAGGTGGCCAAATGTGAGAAAGTCTGAAAATTTCTCCAATGAGGCATCATATATACATAGTGCAAATCAGCAAACTCGCTGCAGCACGAGGGGATGGAACATTATTACACTTTTCAGTATCTGCAGTGAATTGCAAATGATTCTTCGGCACTTCAAATGGATGGAACTGCAAAAGAACCTTGAGATGAAAATAATTTAGATCCACTGTTAGAGTCCAAATTGAACAGTCACCTGTTACTGAAAATTACTTCACTTATGTGACTGAATTCACATCAACCATTGCATCATGGGTCACAATTCATTGGAAGGTGCATCATGGTCAAATCTATTAGCTCTCACGGCACAAGAATCTCTGATGTCCTAACCAATATATCTCATTCAACCAATACAATTAAAATACAGGACTTGGACAATCATTTCATTTTCTTTTCTGGGTTTTTGCTACACTTACAAGCAAAATAACTATAAACGACCTAAGATGGCCATGGAAAGGATATTTCCTTTTGTGGGTCTGTCTCGAACTACAGTGTACAGCTTTAAAGTGAGGTGTTGCTCTTTCAGGACAGAGACGTGGAGAATTGTTTTCTCTTACAAGGTTGTGACACTTTGGAGCTCTTTGTCTCAGAAGGCAGTGGTGCCGGGGGCATTGGAAAATTTTGAACACACAGTTGGATAGTTTCTTAAGGGAATCAAAGATTACAGGAATATGAATTTGAAATACAAATAGATCAGCCATCGTCTTATTGAATGGTGGAGCAGGTTTTGCACGCTGAATAGTGTACATTTGCTCCTATATTGTATGCTTGCAATTGGCTGAAGTGCATCCCGAACGTATGAAAAGCTACACACAAATACAAGTTCTTCCTTAACCAGTAGTCCAAGAAAACTCAACGAGGGCAAAGACCAAGATCATGCCTGGGATCATCTTAGCCATGGGACAAACTGCAAAAGAATTAAGACAGCCTTGAACTTCACATATCTAAAGTACAATTTCAAATTAAGCATTTATTTCAATACCCCATAAAGTATCTGACTGTTAAAGTAAGCTTACCTTGTGCAGATCACTGTTCGTCAGTGAAAATGGCAAGTTAGATACATATACTGTGCTTTTGCTTGGTGCCAATCCACCACTCATTTTTTAAAAATCTGAAATTCCTCCTTCACAGACAACTAGGAGAGTAAAACAAAAATCAATGGAGAAATAAAAGGTGCAATTCAGTTAATTTTTAATCTGATGCCAATAGCCATACAACTAGGGAAGATAAATATTTAAGTGCACACATCTGTGCAGGCATAACACTCAGGCACTTTGAAGCAAGGTTAATTAAGCTTCAGCTATGTTTTTTGGGTCAATAGCACTTACAGGATTGAAAATGGAAACTGGATAGGGAACAGTTTCCACAATAACAAGACAAAGCTCTAGATAGTTGATGAATTATTCAATTTAGAACATCTTTCCACTTTTACTAAACTCTGAATTGGAACAAGTTAGAATATGTCCAAATTAGATCAAAAAGAGCAGAACTGACAGTTTTATGATAAAACTATCAAATTTTCTTATCATCTCAACTAAGTTAACAAGTAATTTGAGATTATAAAAGATTTTATGATTCTACCAAATAGAAAATGTCAACAAAAAAATGTAAGCATGCTACTGCAACATACATGCAAGAATAACGCTTTAAAACACATTACTAATATGAATTACCAAGTGAATGTTTTGCATTCACTTACAAAATTAAAATAGCTCGTTATAAACCCACATTTGTGGCTTTCACTATTCAAGTTATAGTTTATGAAAAAAAACTTTCAAAAATGTTTTTCCATGAGATGTGGGCATCGCTGGCTGGGCTAGCATTAATTGCTGATCCCTACTAGTCCTCAAGGTGGAGGAGCCTACTGGGGCAACTGTAGTCCAAACAGGTTAGGTACAAATAATTTGATAAATTAGAGTTCCAGCCTCTTAAGAAATATCTCATTTTTAAAAACACTATATTTCTCCAAAAACTACTGGAAACTGAATGTTGTATGTAATGTAAGTAAGCCATCACCAAAATAGGGTAGAATTTAAAAAAACTACCCCAAAAGAAACACAATAATCAAGTTTGTCAAAAATAAAGATCAGCCATGATTAGTTAGTGTACAACAGGCTCTTTGAGAAAACTGCCACTAGTTGTAGAAAGCTTTGGGAAGCACATGTTCAAAATCAGCTGTTCCATAGGTCAGGGTTGAAAAGTGGCCAAATGTGAGAAAGTCTGAAAATTTCTCCAATGAGGCTTCATATATACATGGTGCAAATCAGCAAACTCGCTGCAGCACAAAGGGATGGAACATTATTCGACTTTTCAGTGTCTGCAGTGAATTGCAAATGATTCTACAGCACTTCAAATGGATGGAATTGCAAAAGAACCTTGAGACGAAAATAATTTAGATCCACTGTTAAGAGTTCAAATTGACAGTCCCCTGTTCTGGCCAGGATGATGACTTTTCAGTTAGTGTACTTTATCATAAAATAAATGACTATGAAATCTACTTAATAATTAGTGAGAACAGATGAGGAAGAGTGGAGGGTCGGACAACCACGTTTGGGATTTTGAGAATAGGAAAAGACCGAAGATGGAAACACCTCTTTCTCCTTCTCTCACTAATCAGATCCCCTCCTGCTCCACTGCAAAGTTTGCATGCTGACCCTGTACCAAAGCTGTGATTGCCCATGTACTAACACATCTTCATTAACATCCCTGTCCCCTGTTAACACATCAGTGGCTTATTGAATTATCAGAAGAGAAGAAACGCAGGCAGGTGGGACTAGTTTAGTTTGGGATTATGGTCAGCATGGACTGGTTGGACCGAAGGGTCTGTTTCCATGATGTACGACTCTAAGACTGACTTAGGAGTATCCTCCCAAGGGCGGATGCAGGACAATGGCTTAAAGGACAGTTGGAGGTGGGATGGGCGGTGAACAGGCTGGAACTTTTTCACTAGAGTGTAGGAGGTTGAGGGGTGACATTATAGAGGTTTATAAAATCATGAGGAGCATTGATAATGTGAATGGCAATGGTCTTTTCCTTAGGGTGGGAGAGATCAAAACTAGACGGCATTTTTTATGGGGATTGGAGAGAGATTTAAAAAGGACCTGAGGGGCAACTTTTTCACACAGAGGACGGTTTGTGTATGTGATGACCTGCCAGAGGAAGTGGTAGCTGGAAAGAGAACAGTTACAAGATTTAAAAAAACATTTGGATAGGATACGTGAATAGGAAAGGTTTAGAGGGATATGGGCCAAAATGCAGGCAAGTGGGATTAGTTTAGTTTGGGAATCTTGGTCAGCATGGACAAGTTGAACCAAAGGGTCGGCTTCTGAGTAGTACAACTCTATGACCAGGTCGCTTAATGAGTTATCAAAAGAGGACCAGATTAGACAGCTACTTTTTGTTTTAAAGTAGCTTGGGTTGTGGACAGCAACTATATTTGGCCTGGTGCAAGACTAAGTGATGGTTCCCCCAGGTCTATTTGTACCTTGTTATTGTCAAGGTTATCTTATTCTTAATGGTCTCATTCTTCTTTTCTGCCTCCCAGGGAATGTCCTGCAATTGATGGCAGTGCAGGGGAAAGATTCCTGCATAAACAAAGTTGCTGGAAAAGCTCAGCACGTCTGGCAGCATCTGTGAAGGAGAAAACAGAAGGTTCTGAGGAAGGGTCACCAGACCCGAAACGTTAACTCTGTTTTCTCCTTCACAGATGCTGCCAGACCTGCTGAGCTTTTTCAGCAATGTTGTTTTTGTTCTTGATTTACAGCATCTGCAGTTCTTTTGGTTTTTATTAAAGATTCCTGCATGGCTGCAGCCCGATCAGGCAAATAAACTGCTCCAGCTCCTTCAATCACAAGTTCCTTTCCTCCTATCATTGCAGTTCCTTCAATCATAGAATCACTTTCTGGAACAGCAGCAAGGCTGAGAGGGAGCAATTTGTGATTGGATGAGATGGGTCTGCTAAATTGACAGAATCTAATGATTGGAAAAGCAGCTGACTCGCTGCTTTTCCTATCATTGCTTTGGAGTCAGTTTTGACTCTCGCTGACAGCAGAATTGCAACTATTTTTGAAACCTTGCACTAGCTAATAATTTAATAGGTATTGTAACATCGTTCTATGGCAATGAATAAAATAGATTAAATGTTGGAGTATGTCGAAAAAAAGGTCAATATCGAGCAATTAATGACACTCAAATTATTTATGAAACCATGTTCAGGATAATTTTACAGCTCTTATTTTGAAACAAATATTAAAAATGGTTGATTTACAAGACACTAATCCCTGATAGATTCCCTAAAAATCACTGAAATGTGTTTCCTGAGTTATGAATATATCTCCCTTTAACCACAATTGATGTATGCTGGTCCTACAGCTCCAGATACAATGAAACAGCACATCATCTCTTTCATTAGGAATCTTACCCATCTCCTATTCAATGAGAATATTCCCAATTTCAGAATTGCTTCACAATCCAATACTTTCCCCCTTCCAACCCCAAATAACCTGAAGCATTCTGAATATCCTCTTCCATATTCTTTCAACACCTGAAAAGTCCCTTCTGTACTCAAGTAAACAAAATTATGCATAGTATTTGATGTGCAGGCACACCAATTATTTAACAAGTGGCAGGATTACGCCACTATTTTGGTACAATATTGACTATAATCTAAATAAAATTTGGTAATATCTGATTCGATTTATTCCATTGTCAGCAACCATAGTGCAGAAATGGGTTCTTCAGCCATTCGTCCTGATCTGCCTTTCCGCAAATTCAGGCTAATCTACATCCTAATATCATGCACAAGCTTTGACTCTTTCAATAATCATGACTTACAAAATTCTCAGATTTAAAATTATTTATTGATTTTCGTAGGAGAATTCCACATTTCTACCACCCTTCTTGCATATAAAAATGGTTATTAGCAATCCAGTCTATTCTCAAAATCATAAAACCCTCAAACAAATTTCTGCTTAACTTTCTTTATTCTAGCATCTAATTTTTGTAAAAGTTCCTCATAATTTATGGAATGTTGGTGACATTCCAGTGAACTTGCCTTGGCTATTTCCACTTAATTAAGCTATTAATTTCTCTTTATAATATCATGTTTCTGTCTACACTACATACTCTACCATCAATCTCTATCATCAGCAAACTTGGATACATGGCAATTCTATTATACAAGTCATTAATCATGAGTCAACTCTTTCCAATTCAGGTACACATCCATCAACTCTTTTGCATCCTACCACCACTTTGCCAATCTCCCAACTAGGTCAACAGTTTCTCTTTCACCATTTTTAAATAACGGTTACATTTACATTATTTCAATCTAAGAAGGGAATCTCTGAATCAAGAGAGCTTTGGAGGATTATGGCTAAGGTGCCTGCAACTTCTCAATCACTTCATTTAAAGTTCTGGGCTAGAAACCAAGCCCTAGGGATATGTCAGCCTTTAATGCTATTATATTTTCTCATTTTCTTATGTTAACTTCACTCAGTTCCAGTTTTCAACCATCATTAGTTTCCCCAGAATTTCAAGTACTTTATTTCTTCATAGTCTGTGAAGGTTGATTGTGACAGTCACAATCAACCTCTCAGAGATACAGTTGACAAGAAACTGAACTGGACAAGCCACATATATACCACGGCTACAAGAGCAAGTCTGAGGCTAGGAATCCTGTACTGAATAATTCATTTTGTGCCTCCTAAAACCTGTCCATTAAGACAGAAATTTTTTTTTTTTTTTTTTAAATTCGCTTGTGGGACTAGAGCATCACTGACTAGTCAGCATTTATTGCCATCCCTAGTTTCCCTTGAGAAGGGATGTTGAGCTGCCTTCTTAAACTGCTGCAATCCACAAGCCGTAGATTGACCATCAATGCCCAAAGAGACAGAATTCCAGGATTTTGACCTAGTGACAGTGAAGGATCAGTGACATATTTCCATTTCCAAGTCACGATGTTGAGTGGCTTTGGAGGGGAACTTGCAGGTAGTGGTGCTCCCAGGTATATGCTGCCCTTGTCCATCTGGATGGAAGTGATCAGACCAGACAAATCAACAAAACAGACTTAAGAATGAAACCTGAATGAAATAACAACCCTCGAAGGTACACAAACCCATCAGCCCATAGTCTCCC